CAATCAAGGAATTAGTGAGTTTTGACCTAATTTCAGCTACTTCAATGGCAAATTTACCAATTTTTATTCAGTATGGTGGCCGATGGAATGTTGACAACAACTTTGTAGATTATAATGCAGATGCTGTAATAGTTACTCCAAATATAAGTTTTGAAGATTTTGTAGACATGATTTTGAAACAACTTATGATAGATACTTCATTGAATGATACTGAAATCAAATACACTGTCCAAAACAGTTCTCCGCCAATAGTGATACACAATAGTATGGGTGTATGTGTATATCTTGAGATAAAAAAAAGCTCAGAATTTACAATGTATCCCCTTTGTATAACATCGAGTGAAAAGGATATGGACATGATCTGCTACAATTCCAATTCTGCTGTAATTTCCTTAGAATGTGCACAAAGCTCAGTTGTAGAGGAGAGATACAATGGCGATACAATTAAGATAATCGAGTTTGGGGATGGAGAAGACTGGAATGATACATAATCTGATGAAAATACAATAATAACTGACCCTCAACACATAGATGTAGAAGAAGGTCAAATTTATAAAGACAAGGCAATGATAGTCAAAGTCATGAGGCACTTGGCAGTAAAGGAAAAATTTCAATTTAAGGTGCATAGATCAAGTGAAAGCAGGTATCAAAATATTTACTGTATAATTATGTATCTCAATGTATATCGTAGTTGATGTTAGAAGCATAATTATGCAAAAAATAAGTTGTTGCTTGTAAGTATGTGGTTGTACACTTTTAAGTTGTGGTTGTCACCGTCTAGTATTGTATAGTCGTTGTATTTTTTCATCTAGTATTGTTGATGGCAGTGTGTATCAATATATATCATTGTATTTCATGTCGCTCTGTTTATTGATGGAAAAGTTTATATCCTTGTCGTAGGTACTGCCTAGTATGCATCAACAACAACTGTGATTGGTATTAAGTCTTCGAGCCTGAAAAAAACAAACGTTTTCAAGGTCAGAAATTTCAGCAAAGTGCACTCATGCCCACTGAAAGCAAATCTACGCACAACGTCAAGCTACTGCAAAACTCATCGGCAGTCTTCTGTTAAGCAAAGTCTAAAAGCCCAAAAAACGACTATACACTCCTAAATGTACCATAATTGGAGTACACGAAA